TTTCACCCTGCTTCGCCATCGTTTCTATATGGCGTGATTTTTCATTAAGAATTAATTAGTCATATGGCATACACCATCTATTATTTAACTTTAAGTTTATTATTTTATTTTATTGGCTTGTTTTGTTTCTTAAATATTGTCTTTAAACTGTGTGTTTTGTTTTTTTTTCCTGGTTTGGTATGTATTTATATTTTTATTTGTTATATATTTTACCTGTATTACTGTACCTAATGTAGAAGAAATATAGGAGAAACAATAATACACATAGGTAAAAAGTCCAGATAATTTTTTTTTTACAAGATTTAAGTATACATATTTTTAGTTATAAGCATGTTAAATTAAAAAAAAAAAAAGAAAATTGCAGATCATAAACTGAAATAATGGAAAAAATTAAATAAAAGTAAGCTTCTAAAATTGGTCATTTCATTCTTTTGACTTTGCACATTCTAATAATTTTCTATTCGATTCCATAATAAAAAAAAAATTAAAATCAAGTTTAAATGCCTAAAATGATATTGCGCATACTCATATCATTTATAGGTGATTTTCAAATAATTATTTCTTTATTACATTAATGTAATATTTATTTTATGTGATAATATATCTTATTGACTTGCTCGTCAATTTATTTGTTATTCACATAAATGTTCTGATAGGAGCAATGAAATACCACAACATGAAATCATACACTTTATTATAACAAATTGTGACAAAATCTTCAAATGACAAAAATCAAGCAGATCTTCTGGTTATCTTCCAATTTGAAATATTTGTTTAAATATTTATGATTATTAAAATGTATCATCAAAACTATAAAACACAATCAAAAGTTTCATAGCAATAATATTGCATCATAAATGAACAAAAAATCTACAAATTTAAAAGCCAAATCATATCACCTACGATACAAGCATTTTTGCATATAATAAAACTGTATAAGTAATAATATGCAATTGAAAGGCAAGGTAAAAATTAATGGATAGAAACGGAAGTTTTATTACAAAAAAATTACAAATTAATTTATGTCAATGAATATAAATAGCAATTAGATCATCACAGTTAATTCTTAATATGCATTTTCAAACCGCCGTAAATTAAATTTTTTAGCTTAATTGTTCAACTTTATGCTATCGATGATTTTCAGATTTGAATTTTTTGCTATCTTGTTCCGTTGTTTGAGGAGAACCTGCTCTTTTAGAACTTAGAGCGTCATCTGAATCATTTTTAATTTTTTCAGGAAGCTTTTTATTGTCCCCGTGTAATTGTTGTAAACTAATAATGATTGCTGTCATGTTATCACAACCAGTACCATCACCCATTGTATTTGGTGCCAAACAGTGATCAAAAAGCTGAAATGTAAATTGCATAACTTTCAAATACTCAACAATATAAGCAAAGCATAGTATGAATTAATACTAAGTTTACAAATCATAGCCACAGCATATATAAACAGGTAAGTCCCTAATAATATTTAAAATTACAAGTACAATTATATAAAATAAACAAAATAAGTAAAATAGAAATTGAAAATAAGCTTTCAGAATATCCAAAAATTATATATCCGACTGATCATTATTATATTTATTTACAATGAACAGATATTTTATAAATAGGCAAATGTATATGCTCACCTGCTCTATTACACACGACAATTTCAATTCATCTCTATATCTTGATCTAACAAAATCGACTGTTTCCTGACTGTTCAGGTAATTCCAAATGCCATCACAAGCTAATATAATAAACTCGTCTTCATTTGTTAAAGTAATATGTTGAACGTCAGGTAAAGCAGTGATCATTTGCTCTGCCGCGGGTAAATTTTTATTCTATAAAGGCAATAATTCATTAAAACTATACCTTATTTTCCAATCTACACCTTATAATCTAACCAAAAAGAACTATAATTAAAATTTAAAATAGTAAGTATTGTGTATAAATAAAAATATTAGATTGGCAACTAAGTGTGTTCGGCTTTTACTCTTAGTTGGTTTTGATAGAGTTTTTATGTTTACTGACATACTTCAAATGTAATATGCATTTTGTTATTCAAGAGTAGGCATTCCAGCTATCAATCAGTAAAAATAGTTTCTTGATTCATTTGCCATTCATTGAAAGTTGAAAAATCAGATAATTTTTTTTGTCATATTTTGCTTTTATGTTTCTGCAAAGGTAAGAGAACATCTTTAGCTTACAAAAAGTTATGAGCTGCTTATGGTGACAAAGTATTAAAAAAAGAAACAGCAGCATCAAATCAAAATTGGATTGTAAAACTTCGTTCTGGTGATTTTTCATTCAAAGGTGTAAAACACTCTGGTCGTCAAGCTGAAGTTGATTACAAAGAAATTGTTTACTTTCACTCTTACCACTGAACTGAATGTTCTTTAACTTATTACGTTTTGTTCAATCTTCATATATCATATGATGATGTCAAATTATACCTGATTCATTTTTTTGTTATTAAAAACCAGAGGTTTTCTAAGAGTTGGATAATGATGCTGCTTGAAAGATGACAAAAAGTTATTGATCAAAGTGGACTACACGTTACAGAATATTATTTTAGTTCCATGATAAAAATGTCTTAAAATTTCTAACAAAAATCGGCGTAACTTAGTTGCCAACCTTAGTTATGATCCTATGCACTGAAGATTGCATTCAATTGGTATTGATTTCAATCAAAAACTTTCCAAAGAAAACTAGGTCAAAACCTCTAGAGTTTTGTATAATGAAATTAATTTGCATTCATATTGAATTCATTAAAATTAATGACCTGTTTATAAGCATGATCTCCAATGGCCCTAGATAAATTTAAACCGCCATTAACTCTTCCATCCAAGGTCACCCTTCCTCCAGCTTTTGTAATCCTACTTTGTTCAGATTCATCTTCCGGCTTGTGATCAATACTCATATCTACTGCTTTGCCATTGCGGCATAGAACACACCTAATTTTTTGGTTGTAAATGTTATATAATGTATATATGTGATATGTTTCTAATAAGTGAGAAAATTTAAAAAATATACAATAAAAACTAGAAACTATTGATTTGAGTTTACTCTACCGAGAATCACCAGCATTGGCTACGTAAAGTTCCTTCTCATGTATAATTGCTACGACAGCAGTAGTTCCACTATCACTACCAGGTTCCTCCTTCATATTTGCCATAAATTCGGTATCCTTAGGATCAGGAATGTCGTCTTCACAAGAATCTGACGATTCATCTAAATATTCTTCACAATCTTCATCATCATCCTCTTCAGATTCATTCGAACTAGCTTGATTTAAAAAATAAATTTAGTTAATTATTTGTTCAACAATTTTTTTGTATATCATACCCAAAATCAATAATTTATTAACTATAGAATCTTGACACATACATGTGAATTTAATTTCTATATATGCTCGTTTATATATAATATACAAAGACTAATAATCGGATTTAACATCAATAATAAAACCATAAATTTGTTTTCAATTTGTTTCTACAATCTATACATTTTAGCTATAATCCTAGCCTTCATTCAGTGGTAACTAGAATAAAATTAAAAAACTAATCATAATTGAAATTTCACAATTATATGTTAACATTTAACTGTTACAAAAGAGTAAGTGTACAATATATGTGTTATCTGCAAACTGGTTGGATACATATAATGTTGAAGGACTTTTTAACAATACTTATTTTTACTAAGATTCTAACATGTATGGAACTGATGGTAGATATTTCGCATATTTTTTATTTTTCTGTAAGTAATTTAGTAATACTGTCCAGATAAAGCATGTTTGTTTCACATAACATGATAAGTTCTGTCCTTTTATTTATGGTTATAATATTTTAGATAGTTATAAATGATCCTTTGGTAATTTTTTTTATTCTGTATATTTTTTTCAATCTCAATTGCCTTAGTTTTTAAATTTTATTTTATTTACCACTGAATAAAGGATTATAGCCAAAAACATATGGATTGTAAAATCAATTCTTAAAAGGAATTAATGGCTTTTTTATTGATGTTAAGCCCAGTCTTTGTTAATTCAAATGTTAACATCAATTTCATAATTATGCAAAATATATATATTTATATGAGTACCGAAATACAAATTATAAGACATAAAAGAAATGAAAAAAAAAACGAGCAAATCATTACAGGTCAATAAAAAAAATTCTTTAAATCAGTTGACTGAATATAGATAGAATATATTACATTAAAAAAAAAAAAAATCGATTTACTTGATTTAACAATCTTTCAAAAGTACATGTATTTACCATTTAATTCTGTAGCATTATCTGTGCTTTTATCATCTGTTTTATTTTCTTTTTCTTGCAATTTTTCATTGTTTTCTACTTCCGGTTTTAACTCTGTTGTACAGTTTTTGGAGATGGAAACTTTATCTTCACAAGATTCTGAGGTATCATCTAAATATCCGTCATCCTCAGTTCCATTCAAACTGACTTAAATCATATCATCATGGCAGTTATATATGTATATGAATTAAATTTATTCCATAAAAACATAGGGAGCTTAAGATCATATACTATTTATATAAAATAATTTATATTGCTATTTCTCTATTTGATTTATATTAATTTTATATTACAACCAACAACATAAATACAAAAAGAAATGCAAAATTATAACTTTTAATGGTGGTGGCACAATCATATTTTTAATTGGTAAATAAAAATATTTGTAACATTTTTTTCATATAGATCCATATATTCCGACTCCCAATTTGACAAACACACAAATAATAAACTAAACATAAACAAAAACATGTCAGAAATTATTACTTTGCAACAAAGCATGTTAGTAAAAAAATAAATAAATATGAATTATACTTTGAAAAAGAAACTAAAAATAATAAATTCGAACATCTTATCTCAAAACACAAATCACAAATGTATATATATATATATATATATATATATATATATATATATACACACAGTAGAACCTCGATTAACCAAACTAATTGTTGTCGATAGGCATCCGGATAATCCAATGTATGAAGAATAATGATGTGTATTTATCAAAAATAACAAATGCATATAAAGATATCAATGAAAATCAATGTTTAATAAGAAATTAACATTTTCTTATGTATGTACATATATATTTTCTTAAATTATATTAAATACATATACTAAAGTGCAGCATAAATCGTGCAAAAATTCTAATTGTAGGCATGTACATACATATAACTGTCTCGGTTGATAGTCCGGATAATCGCAAATCCGTATAACTGAGGTCCGGATAATCGAGGTTGTACTGTATATATATATATATATATATATATATATATATATATATGTATGTATATATATATATATATATATATATAAATGTCTGAAATGTGAGCAAAACCTGGCAATTCAGAAGTTTAACAGCAGCCAATGATGAGTTAATATTTATTAAATATTTGGAATAAATCGGGATTGTTCCCTTTTCATTTTATTCTTATAACACAAAAACTTGTTGCATTAAACCACAAAAACTTGTAATTGCTTTTTGACTGATTAAAAATAAAACAAATATATTTAATAGCAATATTAGTTTGACAAAAAATTACATTATAATAATTAAAAATTATTATAAAACAAAACACACAACTAACCTTGCTTGTTAATGTCATTATCAAAGTTGGTATAATTTTTGAGTATTTCAATGACTTTTTTTTCTGCAATGGTAGCATCAAAACTAAGGAAAGCATCTTTAAGACCTTGTGCTATATCCCCATTTTTATAAGCTTGAGTTTCCTTGATGGAATCAGGCAACTTTTCAGCACAGTATTTAGCCACTTCGGCACCCCCATGCCCATCATAAACAGCAAAGAGTGATGTATCCTTGTCAAAGTTTAATATCAGGTTATGTGCATCCTAAAAGAAATATTAGATGTAATTAAATGAGCATTTGTTAGCATTAAATATTTTCTAGCATATTATTGATAAACCAGTTTGAGCCAATGTAGTTTTAACTTCGCGGTTCATGATCAATACTTAAGCACTATTTAGACCAGAGATCAAGAGATCATAAAACATATTTTTTCTTTTTCTAACCTCTTGAGTTATTCTCCATCCTTGCATGCTACTAGCTGCACAAGTTAATATGTTATTCGATTCATCGCTCGAATGCTTTTCCACAACAGGCTTGGATAAATAAGCGCCCATTCTTAATTAAATAACCTAAAAAACATCAATATATTAATTGCATAAACACACGAAATTTAGTAAGGCGAAATCAACCAAAAATAGTTTGACTATTTACTTATTTCAAAAGTTGTGCCGTTCAATGAAACGAACAAATAAAATTCATGTGAACCTATGAGACAGATGTAAATTTTATTTTAAACTGTTATAATTTTGCATTACCTGCATGCAGTTCTAACACCCATTGAATTATAAATTGTTAAAAATATTATCTATAGTCACAGCGTTAATATCAACGAATAATCTAATAAAATACAATATTTAAACATAAGGCTACAACACGTTTTTTGGGTTAACTACAAAAAAGCATAATAAATATCCCTCACAAGACGGTTTATCATAGCTAACTTGACAGTTAATTTATACCAGCAGAGTGTGAAGTTGCACCAAATCTGAATTAAACCGCCAAAAGTGCAACAACATTAGTTCGGCAGGAGCGGCAATATTCGCACATCAAATTTGGCATATCACGTATGTAGCAAATTCAAATGTAGATATATTTTAATATGACATATTTGTAAAAGCAATTCTTAGAAGATGATGTGATATATGTGCTGCTTGCTCAATTTTAGATGAAAAAATGAATATCATAATGGTAGTTATGCACTATTACATTTCGCTTTAGGAATACTTAAATTTTTTATTTTTTTTTTTCATTTAAATACCAATTACTATCGAGTAGGCTCTGAATAATTTAGGAGAAAAATATCGCATGTCGCTTCAAATTTGCTAGAAGATTTCAATATTAATTTGTTTGAAAATTGATAAATCTTCGTATACGAATACACACCAATAATGATACCCATTCTGTCTCCATCTAGATAAGTACTTCAAATTTGTTTAGAATATTTCTGTAAGTGTTATATGTTTCTTTAGTACTGTGTCAAGCATTGCAAGGAATAGTTGGTGTTTTTTGTATATCAAAAATTAAATGAAATTTAAATAAATTATTAAAGAATGTGTAGTATATAAGTAACTGTTTTTGAAATTACACTGAAGATGAGACACACCATGGTCTCGAAACGTCTGTAATCATAAAATAAAGTTGTGTTAAACAAATCTGAGTGCTGTTTTGTTCATATTAAACAATTAATATATATATATATATATATATATATATATATATATAATTCTTCTGTAATGGGGTATAATAAAATGTTCATCTTTCTAAACGATTATTCAGATTTTCATAAATCTTTCTGAAGTTTGTTGAGGGAATTTTCTATGATTTTTTGATTCATAGAAATATAATTAGATTGTAAAAATAAATGAAAAAATACAAAAAAAACGCTTATCATTGATTGACATCGAAAATATTTGAGGAATTGTTTGACATTAAAAACAAATGAAGATTGTCATTTGCCAAACATTTCCTTATAGCCTAAGGCAATATTAAAATATAATGTATTTATGATTATTAATAAGAAAAATGTAATGTCTACATTATTATTGCCGAAAAGCAGCTGAGATGTGCCAAAATCGCCAAAAGATACATTATATATCTGGCACAGGAACAATCTGCGCATGCGCCTGGCGGCTGTGGACTGTCTATGAATATACCCTTTATAATTAATTTAACATATTATTATCTTTTAATTAATGCAGTCGTGTTTTGCCTTACTTTACTAAACCATAATACAAAAAAAAAATACTTATTTAAAAATTTATTTAGAAGTTTCATTGTGTCAAAAATTCATAAGTTTGGCATTAGATACGGAATATTTACTCAAGTCAATGGAGCCAATGGAGTGTCAGAAATTTTTTACTGTGCTCCAATTTGCATGAAATTTTGGAATTAGGTTCATCTTACTCTCAAGTACAAAAGTGAAAATAATTTAGACTCTTTTGCTACTTCCCAGGGGATGACATTTCTTTTCATCGGTATCGATAAAAAAACTAACTAGCTGTAAGTGGAATTCTGTCTTAAGGCAATTAGGGCATCGTGCCTTAAGGCAAATTGCTGGAACTTCCCGTACCAAAAATTATTTTTTTTTAAAAACGATTAACATTTTTGAAAAAAATTTACTTCGAAAAAATAAGATTTTTGAGAAACTATAAATTGGACAAAAAATTACTTTTTTTTGAAAAAAAAATTTTTTTTTTTAATTTTTTTTTTTTAATTTTTTTTTAAAAAATGTTTTCTTTATTTTGACATATTTTGGAAGATCTGAACTTTTTTTCAAAGCAATCGTACTGCTTTAATTGCATAGAGACAAAATATAAAGCGCGTAAGCGCGGCGTCGCTGTCTAACGGGTAAACATTGATACGGAACCCATAGGAGAATAAACAAAATTTATACTTATTGTTAAAGTCTCTATAAAATATCTGAAAATTTTATGTGCATATGTCTAATGATCATTTTTGACCGCCAAATGGCATTTTTTTTTACTTTTTTCGTTAGATCTCCGAAACCGCTAGACCTGCCTTAATGAAAATTTGATCAATTATTTATCTTGTCAATACAAGTAAAATGTTTTTTGAATTATTAAAATCGGACGCTCCGTTCTCTTAAAAACTGAGTTACCGTTTTCAGCACTTTTTGCCCCGTATCTCCGGAACGGCTAGACCTACCTTCGCCAAAAACTAATCAGCACGTCTCCTTATCAATACGAATCGAATGTTTTTTGAATTATTCAAATCGGTTGATCCGTGTTTCCGAAATCGTCGACGAAAATTTGTATCCGCACATACATACACACACGTACATACACACACACACACACACACACACACACACACATACATCCATTTTTTCTAAGGTATGCCAAAATGTTCAGAAACCTCTGAAACGTAAAGATATATAAAAATTTTCATTTTCGATTTTTTTGCGATTACTATAACTTACCCTACGGGAAGTTAATAAGAGAAAAATGTTTAATAATGATTTTCAAAAAAGCAAATACTTTTCAAGTTACTGGCTATTGAAAATTTATTTCTTTTTGCGTTTTTTATCGTTTTTTGCTAATATCTTAAAAATATAACTTATAACTAAAATCGTATAATGATCAAAAATTATATCAATTAAAATCTTAATAAATCGGTGTTTTATAAAGAGTTTTATGAACGATATTAGGCTAGATATTAAAATGGGGTGTTATAGTGCTCAAAATAAGCTTTAAAATGAGTACTTCTGCGTGTAAAATGAGTGAGCTATCATGCAAATAAAAGACGCATACTTTTTTTTTCATTTAAATTAAATAGTTTATGAGTGTCATTTCCACCAAAACTAAAAATAATCGTATTCCATCTAGAATTAACTTGGTTTAAGAGATCTTGATGGATTTTAGAGAATACCACAACTTTAGTACAAACGATTTTCAAAAAGCTCATAATTTCATGAAAAAAAATCTATTAAAAAAAAAACAGCCAAATTCTCATTATTATATCTCTGACAGAGAATACAAGATACGTATAAAGGTATATAGATGAAGTTCTTCATCTATATGTGTGTGCGGATACAAATTTTCGTCGACGATTTCGGGAACACTGAACGGACGTGCTGATTAGTTTTTGGCGGAGGCAGGTCTAGCCGTTCCGAAGATACGGGGCAAAAAGTGTCAATAACGGTAACTCAATTTTTAAGAGAACGGAGCGTCGGATTTTAATAATACAAATAACATTTTACTTGTATTGACAAGATGAAGAATTGATCAAATTTTCATAAGGGCAGGTCTAGCGGTTTCGGAGATCTAACAAAAAAAGTAAAAAAAATGCCATTTGGCGGTCAAAAATAATCATTAGACATATGCACATCAAATTATCAGATATTTTATAGAGATTTTAACAGTAAGTATAAATTTTGTTTACATTTCTATGGGTTCCGTACCAATGTTTATCCGTTAGACAGCGACGCGGCGCTTACGCGCTTTATATTTTGTCTCTATGCAGTTAAAGCAGTACGATTGTTTGAAAAAAAGTTCAGATCTTTCAAAATATGTCAAAATAAAGAAAACATTTTTTTTTTTTCAAAAAAAAATTTTTTTTTTAATTTTTAATTTTTTGTCCAATTTATAGTTTCTCAAAAATCTTATTTCAAAAATGTTAATCGTTTTTAAAAAAAATAATAATTTTTGGTACGAAAAGTTCCAGCAATTTGCCTTAAGGCACGATGCCTTAATTGTATCAAGACAGAATTCCACTTACAGCTAGTTAGTTTTTGCTTTGAACTAAGAACGCATGTGATTAATCGTATTTGGTTAGTGATAATTGTAAAGTGTTTGTCGTATATGCTATGTGGAGTTATTGTAATCGCAATACTATATTATACTGTAGTATATATAAATATAAACCTCGTCATCATCACTAAACATTCACGCAAAATATCATGCGTTTCAAAAATATTAAAATTTAATCACAAAGTAGTAAAGAGAAAAGTTAATAAAGAGAGATATCTGTTTCGCAGTCTGACTTGCAGATAACCTTTTGACGGAACTAGTTCCGAAACGTCGGGTATGACAACTACTCACTTTCAAAGAATTGCTTTTTATTTGAATTTCCTGCTCAAAACACAAACATACTCGCACACACATTACATATAAATGTGTGTGTATTCTCAGATATAAATATTAAATGTACTTTTGAGAATGTCTAACGTTTTTTGCTTGAGAATACAACTGTCGATATTCACATATTTGCATTTGCTAAATTAATTTATGTATATATACCAAAAAAATATTAATGTGAGTTAATTATATTCGATAGTAATTCTTCTCAATGTCACATTCGTTATGTAAATAAAAATAGTGATACATAATTTATCTACATGATAAACGTTCTAATACCTGTCAAACCAAAGCATAATTATTAATCAAGCTTTAAGGAAACATTAAAATAAAATTATAATTCAAATTAATTCAATTAACTGGAAATCAAAAGTAAAATGATTCGGCGAAACTAGTAGTATAGAGCTTTATCGCAAAATCCTTGAACTTTCCGGCCCAAAAAAATTAAATGAATAAAATTATTAAATAAATTGCAAGTTCATACCGGCGAATAATTTAAATATTTTAATTTCTTTTAAATATCTTAATTTAAATATATATAATATATATATATATATAGATTCATTCAATTTTGTGTACTCATGTACATGATATTGCGTATCTAATTTTATCTTTGTTTAAATTGGTCTTATATGGTATTCATATTTGATATTATAATTGAATTATTATCTTAATAAAATAATTAAATACTTTGTATTTAATTCTAATCATAATATTTATTATATCGTAGTCTCGAGGTCGAACTTACTCGAATATTGTAAAGTTTCTTGTGTACTATTTTTAAAGACGTAGCGATACAAAGAATAGTTAAAAAATATAAATTTCAAATAAGTCAA